TCCCCCCGGCCTCCCCTGCCACACCCCTGGCCAGTTTTTATGGATTCTTCCACGAACTGTCTCTTGTTGTCAGATCTGTGGGCCATTGGGATTTCTAACCTGGCAAATTTTGGTCTGGTGACAAGGCAGGAGGGGCTTTGATGCTGGTCCAATAGGTCTTGCAGGATTCCACTTCTGTAGGCTGCAGCTTGAAAAAGGATCTTCCTTTTCCTCCTTTTTCCAAGGTTTCTCTTCCTCTTTGTCACGCCTGTCCCATACTGACATTGCAGCAGAGCGAGCGTGCCCGCTTTCCGTTTCGCGAGCGTGCTTCCTTGTGTTTCATTTAGCCTTGCCTACTTGTTTCACCTAGTTGCTTTATTCTTCCTAAATATCGCCCCAATTTAATAACAGCCCCACATATTTCTTTTGCCAAACCAGGGCCTTCACCACGCTGGTGTGTGTTTAGAGAGGGCCACTAGTAACCTTATCCAGGAAGGAGAGCATACCTGCTCCATCTCTCCTCATCCCACAGAAATCCAAACCATTCCCCGGCCCAAGCGTTACCTTCTCACCGGCGCTTTCTCAGCTGGATTCACCTTGGACTCCTTATTTCATCTGCAAAATGTTGTCAAATTGCAGAATCCATGAAATATTCCTTTTCTTTTTCAGGTGTGAATCAGGATATACTGGACAGCACTGTGAAAAGACAGACTTTAGTATTCTTTATGTTGTCCCAAGTAGACAAAAGCTTACGCATGTCCTTATTGCAGCAATAATTGGAGCTGTACAGATTGCCATTATAGTTGCAATTGTCATGTGCATAACAAGGTAGGTAACGACAAAAACAGTGAAAAATGACACATTGTATGGGTATACTTTTTCTGTGTTTAAATATTTGACGCCCCTCATTTTATGTGCTTTAACATATATCCTAAAATACTCGCATAAAAAATATCTAATGGCTGAAATGCAAGGATTATGTAACATCCTATCGCCATTTTTTTTTTATTTTTCCACAAAACACACGTTTGTTTAAATTCACAAACCACCACTGAGAGCTCTGGGTCCCCAGGACAAATGCCCAGCAGAACAGATCAGCCCTGAGACACATCCAGAAGGTCAGCTACGGTCTTAGACCTTCACTGGAGTTATTCAAGCATTGCTGATACCTTGTAGACGCCACGATCCCCCCGCTCCTACCCAGGGAAACCAGAGACTGCTCCCAGTCTCTCAGGAACAGTCTGCCGTGCTGCAGGGCTGCTCCATCGTGTGTTGCCCGCTGTCTGATGCACTGAGTAAGTCCCGTCCCGTTCGGAACAGCTGACTTTTGTGAATCCTTTCTGAGTTGTGTACCCATCCCCGTGAAAGGGATCCAAGTCACCCCACAGAGAGTCCTGGCTGAGCTCTGCCTCAGGGGCTCCCAGGAGCTGCGGGGCACCTCAGCACTTCAAAAGGCTGACTGAGCCAATCTTACTATCCACTGGATTTTAAGTATGAAATATGTATAAAGCAAATGCAGTTATTCACCGTGGCACGTGTTTTGCTGGATCAAGGCCGAGGGACGTAGCACCTTGCTGGTTTCAGCCTCAAGCTCGGGCAGACCCCTTCTGAGTGACCTGGGGTCCCATGGACATCCCCAGGTGACAGTCCGGTACCAAACCACAGGAGCATTACCCCAGTCAGCACAGCTCATGGATTCCCTGCTATTCTTAAGTCCACGAAATAAAGTCAGTGTGTTACTGCTAGGTTCATTTTTATGCGGCACATATAAAAGCAGCCCTCCTTTTCCTTTCTCTCTTTCTTCTCTTAACAGAAAATGCCCCAAAAACAATAGAGGACGTCGGCAGAAGCAAAACCTAGGCCATTTTACTTCAGATACGTCATCCAGAATGGTTTAACTTAGTGATTTTTATACCTACATTGACCATGTGATGTACATTTTTATTATATCTTTTTTTAAAGAATGGAAATATTTATTTCAGAGGCCTTATTTTTGAACATTTTTAGTGTAACGATGTTGGTCTGTATTCTGAAAGCATCAGCTCTAACAGCTATGGACTGTTTTAGTAACTTTACTTTTATGTTTTTGAATACAGTAGTTCATTTTCTGTGTCTGTATCACATGGTTATATAATAGACTTGTGCTTTATTCATGGAATGTAATATTTTTGGGAACACAGATTTATTCCACCAAGGGTTGTAGATTTAAAAAACAAAACAAAACAAAAACACCAAAACAACAAACAAACCAACCAACAAAAAATTCTGCATTACCAAGCAAACAAGGCATGAACTAAAGGTAAAAATGTTTACAGCTTACTTTTCTTATGAGAAACTAGAGAACACTGTGTTTAAATACCGTAGATATTTAAATGTTTTTGGAAGTTAGCAACTGATTTTTTAGACACTGCCTATCGCATGAACTGTGAAGCTGTGTGCTGTGTGTAGTTGTAACATATTTATAAAATGTGTGGGCTGGGTTTAAGCACTGCCATCTTCATAAATAATTCCAACAGTTTATTTTTAAAGAGGAAAACTATAAGTTTCGTAATTTGGGAAGTTATCTGGAAGAGCAGATGGCACAGGTCCAAAAGAAGTAGGTCTTGGTAGATTTAGGTATTGTAAAAATTGGTGTCGAATAACTGAACACAAAGAATTGGAATAAAGCCTACTTTATCACTGTTAAAGCTGTTTTAATACTTCTTAAACTTTTTTAAAGAAAATACATGTTTTAACACCTACAATACGGATTGTATAGTGTTTGTGATTACAATAAAAAATAATAAAAGTGAATGAATTACTAGTGCTCTTGTATAGAGTATTTTCAAGAGCTAAAGGAGCCCATCCAAATTAGTCTGCTGGTCATAGTTATATTAATAGACTGTTAGTTGTCATTTGAAAGATCCCCAGATAAAGTGTGAATAGGATGTGTTCAGCTGTTTTAACATGTAGTTTAGGCTTTCAAAATTTTTGCATGTAGGATCTAACAATTTGTTCAATAATATTAAAGCAAAAAAAAAAAACCCCAAAACGCTTTCAACATTCTGAACTGGAAAAGCATGTCACAATACAACGTTTTCACTACACTGCCTCTGGTTTAGTGTGTTTATTTGTGACCCGATGGGGTAATTGCAACAAGCTGAAGACCTGAAGTTGTTTCGCTGGAAAACAATGACCGTGTTTTCGTTTGAATTCCCTCGGAGGAAAGCACTCCAGTAACAAGAAAGCAAAAGTAGATCGTTAAAAATATGCAAGTTTGCTTTCCTGCTTAATTAGTAAGTTACTTAACTTTCCTGGATTAACGCTAATAACTTCACCAGTGCAGAAGCGTGACCCGTTAAACGTATGTTCCTTTCCAGACATTGCTTCCTAATTTTAGGGGTTTCATGTTGCTGAAAGTATCCGAACAATCGTGTGTGGATATTTTGTAGTCCCAAGTATTTGACCAAGCTCCAGGAGCGGCGTTTCACGCCCCGCTTTGAGCTTCGCCGGAGCCAGCTGTCGCCCTCGCTCCCTGCAGCAGCGCCAGAATCGTCCTGGCAGGATCACCGAAACCTCGCCTCCCGCCGACCCGGCCGAAGGCAGGCAAAATGGATCGCCGCGAAATCACCCCGGAGGCTGACAAAACCCACCCAAATCGTCTCTCCAGCGTCACCGAGGAGGAAGAAGAACAAGATGCAGCTTACACGATCGTGACGGTCCTGGACAAAGTGGCCAACATTGTGGACAGCGTGCAGGCGAGCCAGAAAAGGATAGAGGAGAGGCACAGGGAGATGGAAAACGCCATCAAGACCATACAGATTGACGTTTTAAAGCTTGGCCAGGCTCACGGCAACACAGGCTACACAGTGAACAAGCTCCTGGAGAAAACCCGCAAAGTCAGCTCCACCGTGAAGGAGGTGCGGGCCCGTGTGGAGAGGCAGAGCGCCAGCGTGCGGAAGGTGGAAGCCAAACAAGAGGAGATGCTGAGGAAGAACAAATTCCGGGTCGTCATCTACCAGGTAACCGCAACCCTAACCTCCTGTAGCACTGTCGCTGTGCCGCCTCCTTGGTGGCTGCTGGTAGGCGTCGGGGAATGACCCAAACGACGCAGCCTGTCCAACGTGAGAGTTACTTTATGCTTGCTTTAACCGCGAGTTGTGCTCCGCCGCGCCCGTCAGCGTGAACCGACCGACGGCAGCGCGCGCCGTCTATTCTTAGCGCTGGTCGGTTTCTGAGCCAGTCGTGTAAGATTAACTGCAGATCAGCAAGGACTATTTGTTGCCTCTCTGAAAGGTAATATGAGGCTGGCCCTGTAAACCTTGTCACACAAACCATGCCTGACATGTGTCCCTGTTATTTTTTTCACCATATTAGGTAGAAGTCCAAATAGTGAAAGTGTTTGTGGGCTCCCTGGAACACAGACTTGCTTCTAACACTGATCTTAAAACGTGGTTTATTTAGCTTGCAGGATTACCCGGGATTTCAGAGCGCTGACAGCCCGGGGCTTCTTTTCATTGTCCCAGTCTCTAGCAGCATATGCACCAACTAAAGCTCAGACCCACAAACCCTTGGTGACGGCGTATGGTCCCTTGCATGCTCTGCTTTGGGAATGGTTTAGCACTGTCCTTCCAGTCATATTGGGCAAGAAAATCATCCGCTTTCTTTCAGTGACCTCATTCTAGAACGTTTGTTGTTCTTTTAAATAACTGTTTGAAGAGTAGTTTTGTGAAACAGCATGGTCTCGCTTACATCCGCACAAAGAGAGGGCGCAGGCAGTTGGCAGCGAGTGCTCTGAAACCCATTTGGTTAATGGCCTGATCCCACATTTGCCAAAACTTCCCAGTTCCCCAAGTCAATAAGAAGCGTCTTTAACCTTTTGCCAGAGCACAGCTGCCCCTTCATACCCAGCGAGTCCCCCAGAGCTTCTTTCGGGCGAGTCGCATTCATCGTGAGGCGTTCTTCCCAACGCCGGCCTGTGCGAGCAGCCCAACACGCCCCCGTCGCCCAGCCCTACACCCTGGTCTTGCACCTGTTTGTACGTAAACGGCGTTACTCGCGGTGAATGGAGCGGGGTGTGTCACCGGGTGTGCTCGCCACCGCGCGCAGCTGGCCAATTCTTCTGCACAACCTAGCGTTCTTAGCTACTTTGTTTTCAACTGCTGGGGAAAAAAAATGGCTAAAAAGGAAAAAAAGCGAAAGCCAAAGGTAGGAAACGTTGCCTCTTTAATGTTACGTCAGTACCTTATGCAGCCAAATCGTGCCTCCCGGATTTTCTGACCGAATGCCTTACTCTGGATGCTCAGGAAAAAGCACGGGCACAGTTTGGCCCATTATGACAATTATTGCACACGGCACTATGATGATGGAATGGCGAAGAGGCACTTTCGCTTTTTCCTTGCAAATCATTTCCAAGCTCACGGTAATAAATACCTCCAAGTCCCCCGGTTAATGGCATAATGCCATTTCATTGATGGGCTTTTACCATAATAATTGCAGCAGAAACAATGCTTTGAAAATATTTGCTCTCAAAGCAGCATTCGTTACATAACGCAATTTTTTCTCCTAGCAAGACATGAGTTGTTTATTTTAAAATGTAGTAAAATATGGTGAAAATGGATTTACACACAGCTATAAAGAACAGCTATTGCTATTTTCAGGTGTTTCATACAAAAGGTGGCTCTCGCAATGCGTCCTTTCTCTAAGGATCCCCTCCAGTAGGAGTTTCTAAAGTCTGCTGGTTTTACTGGGCAAGGATGACCCTGTTCTGGATGTTTAATTCTTAGGCAGTACTTTTCAGGGAAGGAAACATCATTTTTGAGTGCTGCCTTTCTAGCTCCCTCTTTGTGCGGTAGCTAAGGACTCTCAGCCTTCTCCAGGGCGGACTGAAGAACCTTTTCCCACTGGCAGGCGGGAAGAGCAGATATGCCGATCCCTCTGCGATCCGACATTTAACGCTTTCCTGGCAGAGGGGAGCTGCGTTGCCGCACAAAACCTGGAAGGCGTTAGGTAGCCAAGGGGGTGCTGGAGCATTAAGGGGCAGGTACGCTGGTGGAAGGCTCTTCCACACCAGCGCAGGGATTTTCAGGCTGCTGCTTTGCACCAGCGTGGGCACGCTGCTGGAGTGCCAAGGCCTGAATGACTGAAGCTTGGCTACGACGAGTGGGAGTGAGTTAACAGCTACGGAATCAGCACTCCCTGCACTATATTTTACCAAGGGGTATAACCGAGTTGTTTACTTGGTGGCTGTGAGTGACAGCTCATCTGAAGCGGGATTTTCTTCTGATGAACCATTTGGGACATAGCCGTGGAGCCAGTGACCTGTGTGTAGTCAGTGGTGAATGCCTCCGTGGGTGAGCACACGTGGGGTTTAGTTTTAACTTTTGCCAGAACATCAGCTTGTGGGGAAAAGGGAAACACCAATTAAATCCTAAAGATTTTCTTTCAAGTAGATAGCTTTGATCTTACCATTGATAGAAGGAGTAGGCAGGTTGAAAAGGATCATTGGCTGGAGGAGACTGTCCCAAGAGACTTCAGCCATGATGAAAAGAGTTGGCAATATCCTCGCATTAAAAAGAGACAAAGCAATCATCTGTGAGCAGAATGATTAGGGAAATGGAGAGCTTTCATTTTTAAAAGGTCGTGTGGTTGAGGAAGAGTTGGTAGCAGGCAGCTCTCCTCCCCGGGCAGATTGCGTGATTAAAATTGCCAGGTTACCGCGGAGTTCCTAGTGAGGTCTTTGACCCTGGAGTGCTATGTGCCCTGAGGGTATAGCCGGGAATACAGAGTACATGATAGGTTGTGTAGGTCGCTGTTTCAGGTTAGTCTGAATAAGCAGCTACGAGAGCTATCATTTCTCTGCAGTCAAAGAGCACCTCACGGTTTAACTCATCCTGGCTAAATTATTCAGAAATTAAAGGGGATTTTTTTTTTTTTTTTTAATCCTGAAAGAACTTGTTTCATTTGGTTTTCTGCATGTTCTGCCAGTCCCTCTTTGAGTGTGAGCATACACGTACCAGAAGGTCCATGTTTCAGTCACTGGGCACTTTTCTATTCTCACTTCGCATAAGCGCCATAAACGACTTCCCATGAACCTCAGCAAGTTTGC